AAAAAAAGAGGAAGGAAGAATTTTCTACTCACGGGGAGCAATTTGAGCAAAGGGGAAAATACAGGGCATATTTAGAAACAGAGTAGTTCATTTGACTAGAGTATGAGTGCATGACCAAAAAGTATCCCAGTTATGTTGAAGTGTGAAGTACTTGGTGGGGCAGCTAGGTGGTGCATTGGATAGAGTACCAGGCCTGGAGTCAGGAAGACTCATCTTCCTGAGTTCAAATCTGGCCTCAGACACTTACTAGCTATGTGACCCTGGGTAAGTCACTTAACCCTGTGTGCCTCAGTTTCTCATTTGTATAATGAGCTAGAGAAGGAAATGGCAAACCATTCTAGTTTATCTGCCAAGAAAGCCCCAAATAGGGTCATGACTGAAACAACTGAACAGCAACAAAAGTTCTTGGTGAGGTGTAGTATGAGATAAAGCTGCCAAACAACATTGGCTCAACGATGAGAAAACATGACCCAAAGGAAGAGGAGAAGAAGAATCCTAGGTAGCTGACCTGATCAGCATCTCAGGATGACAAGTTGAAAGGGGCCTCAGAGACCAGCTAGCCCAGCTTATGTCTCAACAGGAATTCTCAGTAACATCCTGATAGATGGCCATCTCTCCCTGCTTGAGGATATCTACTGCTATAGGTATTTTGAGATAACTGTAATTATTAGGAAGTTTTTGCTTACTTCAACCCTAAATCAGCTTCCCTCCAAATTTCTGGAGGGTCCTAGCTTTGCCCATTGAGGCTAAGCAAAGTAGGTCGATGGTAGTCAGAGATACCTCCGAGATTTAAGGGGGAAAGTTACACTAAATACCATAGACTCTTAAAACTGGAAGGGACCTTAAAAGTTATAGGGGTATATAGAGTATTATAGACTTAGAACTGAAAGGGACATTAGGTATCTAGTCTAAGCCTTTCTTTTTACTAAAGAGGAGATGCGGGCTGGAGTGCTGACATGACATCTTCAAGGTGACACAGGTAGTAAAGGGGCAGAGCCAGTATTCATTTGAACCTTGGCCCAGCACACTTTCCATAACACCATATTGACTCTACTTCCCAAGTAGTTAGTGGCAAAGCCAGCACTCTTATCAAGGTCTCTTCCACCCAGTTCAGTGTTTTTCCCATTAGCCATGTGCAGTCACAGAATAGGGTACGAGTATGCAAGTCTTATATTACATTTATTTCTGTTTCTGCAAATTTACACACATACATATGCAACTTTCCCCAGGTATAGGTCTTCTTTATTGTCCTGGACAATTCTAGAGGATAGAGGGTGGACCTACAATTTCAGTGATACAGAGAACTCCCAGATGAGAAATCTCCCTGTACTAATTCAGGCTGGTACCTCTCTCCAACTTCTAAAAAGCAGTTCAGAGTACTAAATGACTTGTGCAGGTTTACACAGCCTGTATATCTGAGAGGTGGGACTTGAACCCAAGTCTTGCTGGCTAAAGGCCAATTCTCTATCGGCTACCCCACCTCTTTGTAATTCCTATTTTTGTGAACTGCTGCCCAGACCCCCTGCTTCCCAAACAGCTGTTCTTAGCTCACTGGCAGCCAGGAAGAGGGTGATTAATCTCCCCCTCACCTTTAGCTGGCAGGTATGGAAGCTGTAACTCTCACTCTCTCTCCTGTTCCTGGTAAGGGTCATTGGAATCAGAGGATGTTAACACTAGCAAGATTTTTTGTTCCCACTGTTTAAATGAAATGACCTTTTTGGCATTTTCTTCTCCAAATCAACAAACATTTATTTTCTTTCTCTCCCACCTCTTCCCACATGATTGAACAAAAGAAAATCCTCATAATAAATATAACAGTCAGGCAAAACAAATCCCCACGCAATCCATGTCTAAAAACATATGTCTCATTCTGCATCTTGAGTCTATGCCTTCTCTGTCAGGAGCCAGGTAGCAAACGTCATAGGCAGTCCTCTAAAGTCAATGGTTAGTCATTGCTTTGCCAGAGTTTCTAAGTCTTTCAAAGTTATTTTTCTTTGCAATGTTATTGTGTAAGTTATTTTCTCCATTCTGGCAGGAGTCCTTAAAGGTCATCTAGCTTAACCTCCTCATATCTAAAAAAAATTTTTTTTTAGTTAACAAGTATTTATTTTCTTTCCACACTTCCTCCCTCCTCCCATCCACTCATTTTACAGAAGAGGAAACTGAGACCCAGAGAAAGAAAGGGGTCTGCTGGTTCATGGAAGAGCTGAAACAAGACACCAGATTTTCTCATTCCCAGTATGACACATTTCCCCCTGCCCCACATGTAACAAACACTTTTGGAGATGGCATCTTTGTGAGCAGGCAGGTGGGATGGGGACATAGGTCCTTTTGTTAGGGGCTGAGTGGAACATCATAAGCAGTCACAGGATAATATTTGGAAAGTGTCTGGCAGTGCCTGGCATATAATAGGAACTTAATAAATGCTTGTTTTCTTCCTTCCTTCCTCATTCGTTAATGCCTGAAGTAAGAATTTACAGTAGAACTGTGATCTCTGCTTACTTTGAGAATTTGGGGGGCCTCAGCCGGATCAGGAACCTCAGCTGAATCTGTGGCAAAACCCCCTGAGACAGGAAATGTCCTTTTTGTTTTGTCAATGCTCTGCATCCCACTTCAGGACAAAGACCTTTGATGGGGGATGGAGAGATAGAGTGGAAGAGAGTAGGAAGAAGAAATACACTTTCCACAACTTTAAGCTTACTCTGCTGGCACAGGAGAGCAGATCTCGGGGCCCATTTGAGCTGGGCAGACCTTGGACAAGACACTCTCTAAGGCCTGGCTTTCTTATCCATAAAGCAGAGAGAAAGAACCTGGTCTCACTGGCAGGAGAGGCAAAGTGATGGGCTATAAAAAGATGAGATGGATCTCCGCATGGAACCTGTGGAGATGGGTCTGGTTACTTTATAGTGGCCCAGTGTACGGACCCTGGAGCGTTAAAGCTTCCAAGTGGGGCCCAAGGGGAAGCCGGCTTGGTTTAAGGTACCTTGAGGGAACCATCATCTCCACTGGGTTTAGAATACAAAGGTCTCTCAGCCTCAGTAATTGACTTGTATGGCATCCAGTGCCTCCTGGCTTATAATTCACCCCCAGTGATGTATCATCTTTAACTGAAAAGATTCATCACAGAGGCAGAGGCAGCCGCGTGCTTGTCTGGAGGAGAAAATGGAATCTCCTGCCAGCAAGTTTGCCTCCCTTCCCTGGGCTCGGAAGCAAATTTCCTTGTGTTCTCAAGCTCCTTGGGCTCAGGCCTGGGCTTGCAGCCAACTTTTAGAGTCCTGGGAGTGTTGGTCTTTAGGAACCATCAAGGCACATGGGACCTGGGTTGTGGAGATGGCCTTGGACCGGGAATACAGAAACCATGGTGTCTAGTGCTTCCTCTGATCCCAAACAACTCAGCGACCTTGGGCATCCCCTCATGTCTCTGTTCTCCCCTTTGCAAGATGAGGACGATGATTGATTTACCCTATTGCCTCACAGGGATGTGGCAATAATCAGTGAATAAACCATCCAACATCATCCAACCTCAGGTAAAATATTTCATCGGGAGGGAAGTCATCACTTCCCAAGGCTGCCCATTCCACTTATGGGCAGTAAAAACAGGACATTTTTTTCTCACATCAAACGTAAATTTTCCTCTTTGCGACCTTCACCCTCCTGCCCCTGCTCTCCAGAGCCAAGTCTAACCCAGCTTCCTTGTCACAGCTCTCCAACTTGAAGACACTTATCTTGTTCCCACTTCCCTTCTCCTTCTCCAGGCTTCCTCTGCTTGTCTACTTCAGGCTAAACATTCCCAGGTCCCTTGTGCTCATCTATCAGGGTCTCCAAACCCTTCGCTATCTTGATTGCCATCTGTAAAATTAGGTATTTGGATTCTTTCCAGTTCCAGATCTGTGGTCCTGTGATCCTTCCTCTGGACACATTCTGTTTTATTATTATCAGAGCAGGAGCTGTTTTTTGTTTGCCTTTTTTTGTATCCCTGATCTTTAGCATAGGGCCTGCCATATAGTAGGTCCTTAATAAAGGCTTGTTGACTTATCAGTTGTTAATCTTTTTTTTTATAGACTAATTCTTAAAATATTAGAATACAATTATCATCTCCTACTCTTATCCCCTAGTTTTCTCACCTCTTGGCCAAATATTCCCAATTCCATTTTAAAAGATAAAAAATTTAGAGCTGCTAAGGTCATCTAGTACAATGCCCTAATTTTAGAGGTAAGAAAACTGAGGTTGAGAGAGAAGCAAAATGATCTATTCTGGGTCACATAAGGTAATAAGAGGCAAAGATGAGATTTAAACTCAGATCCCCCTGGCTTCCATAGCCACCATTTCTTTCCCCAAAGCCATGCTAATTACTAGCAGTGAGGTGGTTCTCCTCCCTCCCATTTCCTGTACTGGGGATACTGTTACAGAACACAGAGTTGTTCCCCTTCAGCCATCTTTGGTTAAAATCCCATAAGAAATCCAACCTAGGCTTGGTCTTCTGCCCACCTGGGCTCCCCATCCTCACCTCACCTGCTCAGAGGAAAGCACAAAGGATGAGGAGCACATCAGCCCAAGGTCAGAGAAAACATGGAATTCTGGAGGGGCCATCGGGTCCACAAGAGTTCCCAGCACCCTTGGATTATCAACATGGCGCAAGCACGGGCTGTAGGATAATGAAGAAAGAATCAAACCTCCTGGACTAGGAGTCAGGAAGCCTGGGTTCTGGTCCCAGGTCCTGACACTAACAAACTGGGTGACCTCAACTCAGTTTCCTCATCTGTAAAATAAGGGGTTTGACCAGCTGATCCCTGAGCCAGCCCTAACAGTCTGTGATTCAAAGGCACCCTCCCCTACTGCCTCTAGAATAAACATGTTTTTTCTTTAACAATCAGGGAAGATCGATAAGGCTGTCAGCATGTCTTTGCCATAAGCCCCAGCTTTGCAACGGATGGAAACTTTTAGCCTGATTATTTTTTAAAATAAATTCATTTCTTTTCTCTCTCTCCTTCCCCCACCAGCCCATCTCCTCCTTCCCCAGGACAGCTCACAGTCATCATGAATGAAGAGGGGATGATCACATGGCCTCATCACCATGACGACGGATCCCAGCAGAAGATGCAGGCATCAAAGTCACATGAGAGCCATGGAAAATTGGCTGAGTTATTTATAGAATGGTAGGCTGCTGGTGCCTTTATGGAAATGGGTCTATATTTGACTGTGGTACCAAAGCCTCCATGCTGTCTCTCTCCCTCAATCCCCAGGCACTGTCTAGTAGGGTGTGGCAAGGCACTCCATCTGAAATTGATCTCGCCCATGACTCCCCCGTTTCTAGGCAGAAAAACAAAACCTTTTTTATTCCCATAATCTCCCCCAGGGCACCCCAATGCACCCCCATTGCCACTGCTGCAGCTCTTTCGTAGATGGATACCCTTTCTGCCCTTGCAAACGGGGACCCAGCAAATGCCTCTGCGATAGTCAAGGGAATGGAGTGAGAGCAAGCCTTGTTTGTGACATGAAGATTCTGGCAGTTTGGGAGGGGTTTTCTTACATGTCTCTAATGAAAACAAGCAGTCTGGTTTGGCTTCCAAGGAACACCAGCCTGTTCAATTCAACAAACGGTTATTAAGTATTTTCTATAGAAAGCTGAGTAGTGGTCCAGGAGGAATTTGAGGAATCAAAGATGAAATTAGATGCAGGTTTTGCCTTCAAGGGGTTCATAATCAATCTCTTGCCAAATCTTTGAAGTCAAACATTCAAATACTGCTTCTGAAGCTTACTGACTGTGTGACATTGGGCAAGTCACTTAACTTGATCAGTGTCCCCATCTCTAGAATGAGGGGGTTGGACAAGATGAACTCTGACATCCCTTCCAGCCCTAGATCTGTGTGATTCTATGATTACTCCTTATAATACTGTAAATTTTGGGGGGCACTTAAAGTAACTAGTTGTTTTTTTTCAATCTTTGTATCCCTTTCTTTGCAGCACCTAACATAGTACCTCACTCAGAACAACAACAGCTAGCATTTATATACTGCTTTCATGTGTGTGGATTGCTTTAAAAATATTGCTTCACAACAATCCTAGGAGGTAGGTGCTAAATATTATCCCCAGTTTATAGATGAGAACACTGAGGCAGACATCAGTGAAGGGACTTGCCTGGCTCACACAGCTAATAAGTGTCTGAGATTGGATTTGAACTCAGGTCTTCTTGACTCCAGGTCTAGTGTTCTAGCCACTGAGCCACCTATGTGGCTCATATGTTTGTTGAGGTAGTTGGCATCTGAGTCAAACCTTAAACAAATTGGGGAGGTTCAAGCATGCTGACCTGCACATGGCATCTCAGACTTCTTTAGGCTATCTGGTTGTCCTGCCTCTCTCATAATACAATATAGTACGGAGACTAGTATGAAGACTCAGAGAATCTAGCTAGGTGGTGCATTGGATAGAACACTGTGCCTGGAGTCAGAAAGACTTGAGCTCAAATTCAGCCTCATACACTTACTAGCTATGTAAACCTGATGTGTCATTTCACCTCAGGTTGTCTCAGTTTTTTCATCTGTACAATGGGGATAATAATAGCACCTACCTCCCAGGGTTGCGAGGATCAAACGATTTAATGATTGTAAAGTGCTTAGCACAGTGCCTGGCACATAGTAAGTGATATATAGATGTTAGCTATTTATGATTATTTTAGCGATATTCTTATGGGTGGACCTCTGTTTACACAATAGACACGTTCCAGAAAAGTTGTTTGGGTGTGGAGTGTTTGTGAATAGAATCCTTAAGAGTTATAGCCGGAAGGGACTTCAGTAAGGATCACCTAGTCCAATCCTCTTGTTTTAAAGATGTAGAAACTGAGGTCCAGAGACTTACCAAAAGTCACAGAGATAGCTAGCAGCAAAACTAGGGTTTTATATGCATGATGAGAGCTGTCTAGTTAAAAGAAATATATACTGAATCCTTTTTTTGTAAAATGAAAAATCTTTTATCATAGTGTTGACTCACTATTTTATCTGGTCTTCAAAAAAAAATCTGGGCTCGCACGTCATAAGAACATAGGATTTAGAGCTAGAAGACACCTTGGAAATCATCTTAATCTAATACCCTCATTTCACAGATAAGGAAATCATGGCCCAGACAGATCAGATTTGTTTCAGTTGGATACACCTACACTGTTCAATAATATAATAACAGCTGGTATTTACATAGGACTTTAAGGCTCACAAAATGCTTGGCATATATTAACACCTTAGCTCACATGGGTCAGGTGGTTCCCTAAGGACAGTCCGGGGAGGCTGTGTGCTGCATTACGCATGTGTAAGAGGATATGACTCCTGATTGGCTGAGAGATCTCTGAGTCCAGCTGCTGCACAAGGCAGATGCACTTCAGAAAAGGGGTTTAAGGAAGACATTAAGGAAGTCAAGCATCAACCTTTGAATGGGATACTGGATATTTCAAAGCTACAGACAGGGAGGGAAGCCAGCTCCCACCATTGTCCTTGGTTCTTATCACCTGTAACCCTAGAGACCACTAAGAACAGACTCTCTCCGGTGAGGCCATTGTCTCTCTTTTGCTCCCAGTTGAAGAGGTCATTTAACCTTGTATATTCTACCATTAAACCTAAACTGTATAACCACTCTGATTTCTGTTTAGTTCTTATTTTGATAAAGTTTACTGGCTATTTGTGGTTGCCTCTGGTGTAAACAGGGTTTGATAGGAAGGAGCTAAACTGCTGAGGACATGCTGTTACCCTGCCATTAAGAGTAACCGGGGATTGATTGAAGAAATTGGAGATTTTACTCAAAGAGAAATCTTGGGGTAGGAGACACCAAGAATATGGTTGTTGTTATTGTTTAGCCATTTCGCTAGTGTCTGACTCCTTGGGACCCCATTTGGGATTTTCTTGGCAAAGATACTGGAGTGCTTTGCCATTTCTTTTTCCAGCTCATTTTGCAGCTGAGGAAACTGAGGCAAACAGGGTTAAGGGACTTGCTTCCAGGGTCACACATTTAGTAAGAGTCAGGCCAGATTTGAACTCAGGAAGATGAATCTTCTCGACTTCAGGCTTACCACTGTATTCCCTGAGCCACCCTGCTGCCCTTAAGAATATGATTGCTTCCTTCAAAAGTTGGAAGATCATCAGGAAGAAGGTTTAGTTCAGAAGGAAGAACCAGGACAAATGGGGAGAAGTTATAGGGAGGAAGATTCCAACTCCAAATAATGCTAAACTTACTAACAATTATTGTTGTCAAAAGGTGGGATTAATTAACTACCTCAGTAAGTAGAGAGCTGCTCATCATTGGAAGTGTTCTTACGATTTAGAGCCATTCAAATCATTTTACAGATGGTCAAACTGAGGCTCAGAGAGGCTCAATGATCTGTCCAAGATCACACTGGTTCGCATGGCAGGTAGATGATTGCTGGAACATCATAGAGGAGATTTCTGTTGAGATACAGTTTGGACTGAATGACCTCTGAGTGTCTGTGACTTTGTTACCTATCTTGCATGACACATCTTGTGCCTACACAGCTCTCTCCCCATTCTTGCTTTAGTCATTTGGCAGGTCTGACCTCAGGTTTCCAATGGAGATGAAAGGACACTGAGATTGAATGATTTGCCCTGAGTCACATGGAAAGGAAGAATCAAGATCATAATTTTGTGCTCCCTACTTCCTCAGTACCTTCTGCCCCTTCCCCTGACTTCTCCCCACCTCCCTTTTGTCGATTCCCTCACCCTGCATAAATCCAGTAGAAGCACCTTCCACTTCTCATTGTACCTTGCCCACCAGGGGATTCTGGTTCAGGATTCCAAACTTTATAATAATATACATCAGGAGCCTTTGGAGGTGGGCTTTGACTTTTACAGATGATCAAACAAAGGTTGGAGAGATAAAAGGATTTGCTTAAAATGGCAGCAGAGCCTGGGAATCCAGAGAGAGCAGGAAAGATGCTAGAGCTGTAGTAATGGGTGGACACCACCTTCCTGAAAACAGATCCAAAGTTACACACCCTTTTCAGTCCTAGCCCTGATGCAAGATAGGTACATCCAGCCACGAAAGCTATGAATCCAAGACTTGATTGTATCTGCTATGTGGTAGGCGCTTTTTTTTTTTTTGAAGCAGTGGGAGTTAAGTGACTTGCCTCATATACCTAGTAAGCATCTGAGGCCAAATTTGAGCTCAGGTCCTCCTGACTGTATGGCTGGTGCTCTATCCACTGCGCCACCTCGCCACCCCCATGGTAAGTGCTCTTTAGAGATACAAAACAGTCTTTGCTTTCAAGAAAGTTACCATCTAGTGTTGTTATTGTTGTTCCGTCATTTTCAGTTGCATCTGATTCTTTGTGACCCCATTTAGGGGCTTTCATGGAAAAGATACTGGAGTAGTTTACCATGTCCTTCTCTAGCTCATTTTACAGATGAGGAAACTGAGGCAAACAGGATTAAGTAATTTGCCCAGGGTCAGACAGCTAGTAACTGTCTAAGACCAGATTTCAACAATCTAGTAGAATGTGATAAGTGCATAGTAGGGGCCAAACAAAGAGGGATTAAAAGGTATGACCTTCAGAAGATCATTGAAAAACGTGTTCATTAAAACATTTACTACCGAGATCAACATAATGACATAGGGAAGAGGGGTAAATGTTTTGTACTTGGGTTCAAAAAACCAACTCCGTAAGTACAACATGGGGGAGGCATGAATTGACATCAATTGTACTGAGAAAGATCTTGGGGCTTTAGTTGACTTCAAACTCAATAGGAGCCAGCAGTGTAATGCAAAGAAGATATTATTTCACTGCATTAAGAGGGGAATACTTTTTAGGAATAGAGAGGTGATAGTCCCCACTGTACTGTGTCTTCATTATTTAGAGTACTGTATTCAGTTCCAGGCATCACAATTTAAAAAGGACATAAACCCCAAAGGAGATTTAACAAGGAAAACTTAAATATTGAGTGGGTCAAAGAACAAATCAAAGAAACAATTAACAATTGTGTGAAAGAAAATAATAATGATGAAACAACACACCAAAATTTCCAAGATGTACCTAAAGCAGTCCTTGGGGGAAAAATCATCTCTCTGTAAACATACTTAAATAAAATAGAAAAACAGATGATTAATGAACTGAATAAAAAAACTGCATTAAAAAATTAGAAAGCCAACAAATGAACAAACCTAAAATAAGCACAAAAGAGAAGATATTAAATATTAGAGGGAAATAAATAAGAAATAAAAATTCATAGGAAATATAAATAAAACTAAAAGTTGATTCTTTGGAAAAACTAATAAAATGTATAAATCTTTAGCTAACCTGATTAAAAAGAGGACAGAAAATAAAATCAAAATAGCAAATGAGCAAGATGAAACCACAACAAAACCAGAAGAAATAAAAAGAACAATCAGAACTTATTATATTCTATCAAACCTGAGAACACAAAAGACATAGAGGATTACCTTTAAAAGTAATATTAAAAACTCTCAGAAGTCCACATAGAGATCTTAACTCAATCTCAGAAAATGAAATAGGACTAGTTGTA